GGGGGGCGGGGGGGCTGTCCTTTTGGCCATAAAATGTCTGATCTGTATCAAAATCTCGGGAAATTTGGTCTAGCTTCTTTGCCTTTCGGATCAATTGAGAAGGTTATAAAATCCACTTAAAAATGTACTTTATCTGAGTCATATAAGAAACTGGTAGTAGTGATTTATATGTATTAGAGGGAATCTGCACTTGCTTCAAGTGTAAGTTTAACTGTTTTTGATGTTAAATTCTGTATCAGTGCCTCCTTTATAACTTGGCATGTATTTTGTATCTTTATTTTTGACATTTTCATTTAACCAAGGTGCTTTTAATTTACAATGTAAAGATGAGACCTAAGTCTTGGATCCAATGGCTGGGGCAGGGCAAGAGGGGCAGCTTCTAAACATAAAAATCTCCACATTTGTCTCTTCAGTTTATCTTTTACACATGTGGAATAAAGAATTGGACAAAGTTGACAGTCATGACATGGTATTAAAACTGAAGTTAATGGCATGAGGAACAGGACCTGGCTACAAAGTTCACATATTTTATGACTTAGGCATGCGACCTTTCTGTCACACTATGTGATCTTTGCTCTCCCTCTTGTTGACAGAGAAAATATTGGAAGAGCAGAGAAAAAAGACAGATGAGGTTGTTTAAAGAGAAGAATTTTGCTACAAAGCTGTATAGATGGTCACTATAAAGAGTCAGGAGGATTTGGAAAGTTCACATGTATTAGTGACCAGGGCCCTGTCTTACAAAATAACTTTAGTGCGAAAACTGGTCTAAACTTTTGAGACCAAATTTAAGTATACGATGACCCAAGGTAAATTATCAGTAGTATAATAAAATTAATAAAATAAAGAATTTATTACTAAAAAAAAACTTTGCTTATGCTTCGACCTAATAGTTTTTATATGCACCAAGAAACTGAATCACTCACACCCTGTGTACCACACCCCAACCAACCCATCACACCAACATTCAGAGAAAACCTCTCTCACACTCAGGGTGCCAACAACTCAATGGAAGAAAACTTTAAAGAAAAGCAATTTTTCAAAAACATTCTTTGAAATGTCAAGTCAGCCTGTCACTCAGTAAACCTGTGTTATAATCAGACTGCCACAGACTGTGAATACTTGATGTAAATAGCTTCAGAAATAAAAATAGTTCTGATGTGGCTTGTTTGAAGAATGTATCAACATCCTTGACAACATGGTATGTCACCCATCAGGCCACATCAAGGCTATTTTTAATTCTAAAGCTATTTCCTTTCTTACCAAAGATTAGCAAATAAATAAAAAGCAAACTTTGGTTTAATTGTTTTTTGTTTTACTGGTTGATCAGAGATTCAAGAGGACCTTTCCAGATTTCCGAATAAAAAGACTTTCATTTAACTTTTTGGCAACAGCATACAGGAAATAAACAATGCAAAATTCACACTTTGAATATTTACTAGTAATCATCTCATACAGTAATAATATAACATAGCTCAAAGGTCTAAAGATATATTTGATTACAGTAATGTTTTAACAATCCACTGAGTAAGATAAGTATATCTATCATTTTTTCAAAATACTTCTAACAGAAATCATACAGGAGTAAAATTTTGCAAACCCAAATGATTACATATATGACAACATTTGCTTTACACAAAAGTAATACCAAAAACTTTAGATATATAAAACTTCAGTTTTGTTAACCTTGTAAACTGCAATTCAAATGACTGCCTTCAACAAAACTGCTTTTAAAGCAAAGGTTAATCTGCCTACTCAATGAAAACCCTATTAACTACCGGGGAGGCTGTCTGTCTCTCTAACAGCAAGAGCCATTTCAAGTAGTTTCAATAAAAAAATAAATTTCTTAGCAGTAAAATGTCTATTGGTCTACAAGCAAAGGGTTTTTCATCCAGTTTCAACAAAACCCTTTTTCTGACAGTACAATTGTCTTTCAATCTAAAAGCAAGCATGCATTAAAAAAAAAATTAAGCAGTACTAATTTGTCTAATTTGTCTATCAGCAAGGACGATTTCATGTAACTTCAGCAAGAACATTTATAATTTTCTAGCAGTTTTAATGTTCAACTATAGTCTCTATTTCAACAACTGATCATTTGTGGAAAAAATACATAAGTTTGGAATAATACTGTCCTTCAAACTGCTAAGACTTCAAATTCTACACCATAAATGAAATATTCAAAGTACTTCCAAATTCATTAACAAAAAAAACCTTTTCAAATGCACTTCCTATTCAAAAAAAATTTCCAGAACATTTTTACAGCTAATTTATGAAGTGTAATTGAAAAAAAAAAACTTCAATTGACGCTAAAACCAAAT